GGTGGTAGAACTTTTTTTTTTTAATTTTATTTTTTATAAACATATAATATATTTTTATCCCCAGGGGTACAGGTCTGTGAATCGCCAGGTTTACACACTTCACAGCACTGGTGAAGCCATTCTTATACCTGTCTGCCAAGTTGCAGTCCGTCCCTTGGGCTGTAGTCTTACCGGCTTCTAACACACCACAGGCCTCTGGATGGCTGGTGGTTGGTACCCCGCCACCTTGATGAAAGGTCTGCTTCTGCTGCCAGCACCTGGTTCTGGAGACTACCTTAGGCTGCCGGAGCCTGCTCTGCTCACTTGCACACAGGGCCAGGTGTACCTGAGAAATGACTTCCCAGGACCTCCCCCCCCCAGCCCGCCACCCGCCTTCCACCAATGACTAACTGAAGTTGGTGGATAACTACCCCAGCTCCCTCCTCCAAAGCACCTGCTCTATTCTAGACTGTTTCCAGAGCTCCCAGCAGGACTGAGAAGCTGCAGTGGCTCACAGTGGTGACTTGCGGCACCCTTTTACGGAGTGCCTCTCCTTCTCTTTCTCATTCCCCAACCCCAGCCCTGTGTTTGCTGGAATCACTTCCCACTTAAACTGTTTGCATTTGAACCCTTGCATCTCCAGACTTCCGGGACTCTACTCCTGCTTCCCTTTTTCCTTTTAGATAAGGGATTCTTATCCATAGACATCCTTGCACTTGCTCCCTATGGCCCAGTGGGAGTCTGCAGAATCAGAGACACCGGCCTTCATCCACATCTCTCTGTCTCTAAGCTAGCGTGAGAGCCGTGAGAGCCGACAGCAGCCACACCTCCCGCCTCCCACACGTCTGCACCCAGCAGGGGCTCTCTGACCTCTGGGCGTCCCCTGTGTCCATTTTCTGAGCTGTCTGCGTGTATCTCTCTCTCTCTTTCTTTCTGTTCTTTAATCCTGGTTTGTTTTCTCATTACAAGAGCATCAGCTCTTCCCAAGGGGGAGAGGAGCTGAAGTCTCTCCCCTCCCCAACCCTCTCCTCTGGGCCTTGTCCTTTATTTAGGCATGCAGATTGGTCCCCTACTGCACGGTGGGGGTGGAGGCGCACGGGGGAACCAGGACAAGGAAGGGACAGTCCAGAGCTACCCCCACATTCTTGCTGAGGTCCTGATCCTTCTGTCATTGTCCGTCTTCCGTCTCTTGTTCGCAGGAAATACGATAATGATTTTCCAAAGCAAAACTTTTCTATTTCACCTTGAGCCTCTCTCACTGGTCCAGCAGGAGTATGAACAGGGGAGACTGGAGACAGTCACAGACCAGGAGCAGCCCTGGGTGTGCCCTGGGTCTTGCCCACTCTGCAGTCCTCTCCTGGTCTTGTGGTTTGGTGGGGGGAAGCTGGAGCTGTAATACTCATATTGTTCTGTCCTTGATCTTTATGGTAACCCTGTCTGGAAGCTGGAAGCTAGCCACCTGTCCTGTTGTTTTGCCTGGATGGGTGTGAGCCCCAGAGGATGAGGGTGCCTCAGACCCACTCAGCAAGGTGGGGGGAAAACAGGATGATGCCAATGCCGGGCTGCCTTAGAAGAAGCAGAATGAGCTTCCCCCAACCCTCCGGCTTTGGGGTGGGACAGGCATGTGAGGCAATGCAGCCCCCTCCCATCCCCCGGCCAGCAGCACTGGATACTGGTCCACAGGCCCCAGGCAGCAGGCAGCGGTACCTGCCCTCTTTCCTCTCCCTGGGTTTCCTGACCTCTCCCCCCAGGAATCCCCTCTTGTATGGAGGGCAGCCCTGTGGAGGGAGTTCAGCTTGGGACCTGGGCCAGACTCCCCAGGTCTGGTCCTTAGAAGCCTGGCAGGAGCTGGCAGGCAGCCAGGACCCAGGACAGACTGATATTTGCCAAGAGGGATGGTTGAGAGAGGGAACTCCTGCCAGCATCACTAATTTACTCTTGGCCTGGAAGTCCAGGGATGTCTGTGAAGGAAGGGTGTATAGAGTGGTGTAGGGGATTGGGTTGTTGCTCCGCATCGACCCCTCCCCTGTGAAGGCCCCTTTCTCTGTACCCTCCAGCCCTGCCATCTGAGAGCCTTCCAGGCACCTCTCCTAGTCTAGCTGATGGAATAAAGGGCAGAGTGAGAGATCTGGGAGGGCTCCATGAGCCCACCCCCTTCCGCCTTTTCTCCCCTCAGGTGGTCCTGGAACCTGACCGATCGAGCTTCTCTCCCCCTTCCCCCCAAACTGGTCCTGGGGCCAGAAGGAGGAGTCAGGATTGCTGCCTCATTAGCATATTCATCAGCAGTAATCAGGGACCTGCTGTGATCAAAGCTCTTCGGGCTTCCCTGCCTCTTGGCAAAAGGGAAGCTGGAGGGTCAAGACTTGGACTTGAAAGGACTTCTTGCCCTAAGGGGGAGGGGAGAAGAGGGCAGAGGAGGTGGGAAGCTGGAGGGAGAAAGGGGCACCTGTAGAAAGAACTTTTGGTGGGGAAGAGAGAAGGTGACCGTGGTCCCCTCCAACTTCTCTTGATCAGAGACCAGCAAGACCCATCACCCAGTCCTGAAATCAGCATTTCACCAGGACCAGCAAGGCTCCCAAGCAGGCTTAAGGAGGTGGAACAATTGTTCTTTGAATGTTTATGTATTTACTGTAAGATGTACCAGTAAAAACACAAGCGTCTCAAGCCAGGATAGCCCAGTCATTATGGTTTTTGCATGAAGCAGAGTAAGAGTAAGTTGATTTAAAATTATAAGAACAGCATTAAGGAGTGATGCATATGGCGGATGTTTCCACAATGGCATGTCCCTGATGGGACTCTGGTCTGAATGGTTCAAGGCAGCTGTGCCATCCTCATGCTCTCCTCTGCATCCCTGCAGGGGTTTCTCGCTTTCCCACCCTACTGCACCCTCCCCATGGGTAGCATCTTCTAAGCCCTACCGGGCCTCAGAACCTTCTGGTGGCCTTTCATTGTATTGCTCAAGACTTATCCCTCAGCAAAATTGGTGCAAAAAAAAGAAAAAGAAAAAGCTAAAAATTCAGGAGTGTCAAACAACAAACGCACATTGCCTCACATAGTTTCTCAGAGTCAGAAGTGAGGGAGCAGCTCGTGCTTCTCCTGAGGCTGCAGTCATCTGAAGGTGTCGCTGGGGCTGATCTTCTTCCAAGGTAGCTCATTCATACAGCTGGCAAGCTAAGTGCTGGCTGTGGGCAGGAGAGCTTGGTTCTTCTCCACAGAGACCCTCCACAGGGCTGCTCGAGTGTCCTCACAACATGGCAGCCAGCTTTGTCCCTGGGGGCTGATCCAATAGAACAAGGCAGAAGCCACCATGTCTTTTATGACCAAACCTTGGAATCATCTGCCATCACTTGTGCCACATTCTATTGGCCGCACAGACCAACCCTGATACAGTCTGGGTGGGCACTACACAACAGCAGAAATACCAGGAAGTGGGGCTCATGGAGTGCCATCTTGGCTACCACACATGAGGAGAACCAACCTGAATGAAGTTATGGAGGGTCTACTCTTGGAGGGTGTCCCAGGGCCCCCTACACACACTTGCACATGCTGTGAAGCCTCATTTCCCAGCAACGGTGGCCATAGTTGCCTTTTGTAGAGGGAGGGTCTAAAGCCATGAGAAACCTGAGGAACCGTCTTTTCAAGACCTTGGCCCAGAGGAAACAGTCTAAACTCAGGACCTGGTTTTTGTGTCTCTCCAGACTTGGCACTTCCAATACAACCTTTTCTTCTCTTCACTTAACTTTCTAGAATCCATGGTCCAGCCACACCAACCTTCACATGTACAGCCATTCCTCATGCTCTTTGTTCTGCCCCTTTCCCTGTTCTAACTGTTGAGCTCCCATTCATTCCTCAAGAACCAGGGGGAAAGCTACCAGCTCCACGAAGGCTTCTGAACCTCATTTCTCACAGAAAGAATTCACTTTTTTCTTCCTTTGTTTCTAGAGTTGTTTTGTTTGTTTGTTTGTTTGTTTGTTGTTTGTTTGTTTGTCTTGTGTCATAGCCTTCTGTATCTGTCTTCCCTCCCTTCCAGGCATTTAATTCTAGCCCCACTTAGTGCCTTGGGTCCGAGACTTGGTACATCGCTGGGGCTGAGGAAGTATTTGGGGAATGGGACCTTTGTTTTTCTCCTCCTGCTCTTGCCTGGCCCTGGCTTGTAAGAATCATTTCTTTTTCTTTCCTTTTTTTTTTTTTCCTAAGATTTTATTTTTAGGTAATCTCTACACCCAACATAGGGCTCAAACCCACAACCCCGAGATCAAGAGTCCCATGCTCCACTGTCTGAATCAGCAGGACACCCCTTCTAGGAGTCATTTCTGATGAGCCAGGAGACAGCTCTTAGCGAGGCTAGACCAAAGGGTGCTCCTGCCCAAGGGAGCCAGGGTATATCTTTCCCACCCTGTGAAGGCTGGTCCCTGTACTCCTGAGGGGTGCACCCTCTGCCTTCAAACATAGCCTAGGGTCCGGGCTGGGCAGAGCAATGGCCCTGAGCCAGTTTAATGTCTCTGAGAGCCTGAGGGACATCACCATCATCTCCCAGATGATGCCACAGGCTCACGAACACAGTCGTGGGCTGGGGTACCATGTGGGACATTTGGTCCAGAACCTCCTAGTTGCCCCCTGATGCTCTAAAGGGCAGTCACAGGAGCCTCTGGTCAGTTAGATGGGCGGTCCATACCTTTGATTTTAGAGATAGATCAGCCTTTCAAAATGTGGGGCCCAGGGAAAAGCTTGGGAGGGGGCCTGGCAGGGGTGAGTGTCTCGGCAGCTGCCCACTCTGCCCCTTGTTCCCAAGGGAGCAGGCAAGGGTGACGTCAGTCTGGGGAGCCGTGTCTGGAATTGATATCCTGGGCAGGGATGGAAGGGCCCCAGCCCAACTGATTTCTGGTCTAGACTCTTGCTGCGGCAGGACGGTACCCTGACCAGCCTCCCCCAAAACCTGGTGGAGGTGCTGGGGTCTTTCTCCCCGTCCCCCAACCCCCCGAGCGTGTCCGGTGGTTTGGCAGCCCCTTTCCTCCTCACAGCGGTGTGGGCCTGGCCCGCGCACATTTTGAGAAGCAGCCACCCTCCAACCTCAGGAAATCCAACTTCTTCCACTTCGTGCTGGCCATGTATGACCGGCAGGGGCAGCCTGTGGAGGTGGAGCGCACGGCCTTCATCGATTTCGTGGAAAAGGACCGAGTGAGAGGCTCGTGGGCTCACAGCACCAGAGCAGGGGGGAGGAAAGGGGTGGGTTCGGGGAACCCCCTCCCATAGGGTAGACGGATGGACCATGGGGGGGGGGGGGGGAGGGGGGGGGGGTGGGTTGGATGGAAGGGAGGGAGGAAGGGTGGGATTAGGCAGAAGGTGCTGAGGGGAGACTGGAGGAGCCAGGGGAAAGCTGAGCATCCCCATCTTGGTGCTGCAGGAACCTGGGGCTGAAAAGACCAACAATGGGATCCACTATCGCCTCCGGCTGGTGTATAACAATGGTGAGTAAGGCTCACTCCTTCCTGTGGCTCCTGGTGGGGAGGGTGTTGAGTGTGGTTCAATCACTAGAGGCCACAGCAAGCCCTCTTCACCTCCCCACCCTTAGGACTTCGGACAGAGCAGGATCTCTATGTGCGCCTCATTGACTCCATGTCCAAGCAGGTGAGCCCGTCCAGGGGACGTTTAGGCCCGTCTTGCCTCCCTCTTGGACCCCATCTGAGTGAGCACCCTCACCCCTGGCCCCACCTCCCCCTTGCTCCTCATCCCCACTGGTCCAGCTCCTGTGGCAGGAGGCTGTGTGGCCTCGCCCTCCAATCTGGAAAAAGACAATGTTTGTACAAAGGCCCTGTCTTAGGTGACCTCCCCTACAAGGCCAAACTAGACGGGCATGCAGGTGTGTGTGCTTTATTGAGAAGCAGGAGTGAACCTTTCAGGAGAAGGCAAGGGAGGGAAGCAGGACAGAAAAGGCTGAGCAGGGCTCAGCCAGGATGTGGTTCCAGCTGGAGTCTAGTCTCAGCCTGATCCCCAGGGAGCTCTAGAGAAGGAATGGCAACAGAATCATGCCCCCTTGAGGCAAGGAGGCCAGGATTCTGTACCCTGTATCAGTCAGTGGTTGTCTGGGAACCACTCCCATGGGGAGAGTAACCTTCCAGACATTTCCAAGCTAGGCAACTCCTATCTGCTGAGAGCAGTTCTCAAGAGAAAGCCCTCACCAGCCTCCACTAACCACAGCTGGGGGATGGACCAGCCCTGGTCCACTAAAGGGGGACTGGGTGGGGCCCCAGAATTTCTACTGCAGACCTTTGGTGCTTGCTGGTCTAGAAGGTCACAGGAGGCTGAGAGGCCAGCATAAGGAGCTTGGGGAAATTGAAATCTGAGTAAATCCTGATGGATCCTGCCCAAGACAGGGTCCCAAATGTAAGGGCGTTTCAGAGAAGTCATGCGTGCTGGAAAGGAGCAGGGCTGGGTCACAAATGGGCCCATTAGTGGCCCGGAATGCAAGGTGGAGACGGGCTTTCCAACAGTCTTCTAGCAGCCTCCACCCAATCTCAGGGCAGGGGAAGAAATGGTTTCTTTCTAGAAAGCCTGTGGCCACTGTGGTCTGGGAGGCAAATGAGGCAGCGGTCATTGGGACTGTGTGGAGATAAGTGTGGAACGGGTGGGAGGAGGTCTGGAGAGAGAGAGGGACCCCACCAATGAGGGATGGCCTGGAGGCACAGGGGGACATAAAGTGGGAAACTGGAGCTACAGTTTAGGGAGCTCCCTCCTTGCTGCGGGGCAGAGTAGAGGCCAGGGAGCTGGTGGGGAGGCTGATCCAATAGCACAAAGGAGACACACTGGCCTGGGATGGGGAGCGAGACTGGTGGGGAGAGCCCAGAGGAACAGTGCTTGCGAGCAGGAGGCAGAGATCACCTAGGGCCATGGGAACAGTGGAGATAGGAGTGTGTCTACCGCACCAACAGCCCGACCTTTTGGTCTGGGGACCTCCCCAGCCCCAAACAGAGCTGGCTCTGGAAAAAGCTGCCTGTGGACAAACAGAATCTATAGACCCACCTCATGCCACCCTTGCCCACCACAGCCCCGGTTGGGGCTCCTGGTTTGGGGAGCCTGGTCCCAGCTCCTGCTCTGCTTTCTTGGGCGCCCCAGAGCAAGTTGGAGGGCAGGATCTTCCCTGGGAGAAGGGCCCATCTCTCCCCTGCACTTGGACTTGAGAACAACCTCCTTCCTCTTGAGTCTGTGCATTCCTCCTCTCCCCCAGGCAATCATCTATGAGGGGCAAGACAAGAACCCCGAAATGTGCCGCGTGCTGCTCACCCATGAGATCATGTGCAGGTGAGAAGGTTTGGGACACTTGCAACTTTGTCTCTGGGTCCCCACCGGGCCCTGCCCCAACCACTGCCGACACAGCCTGGCTCCTCGAAGCTCCCTCGGGAAGCCAGATGGGGGGAGGCAATGCGGGAGGAAGGAGGCCCTTGAGCACAGTGCTGGCTGAAGAGAGGATCCTTGAGGCCCCATTAGCCTGGCCTGTTTATGTGGCTTCTCCAAGTGTTTTTGTAAGACAGGCCTCCTGCCACCACTGGAAAGCTTAACTAATAAAGCTCAGGGGAGGCTTGCTGAGGAGGGGGGCAGGGCTGGGCCTCCCGGATTAGCTTAGAAGCTAGAGAGAGGAAACTTTGCTGCCTCCTGGGTGAGCCTCAGGGTGCTCCCTAGGGGAGGTGGGGGTGGGGCGGACACAGCTCTTGGCTTCCCTTCCCCATTACCCCCAGAGCTTGGCATTTCTAGATAAGGTCTCCCCAGGAGACGCCCCTCACACGGGGTCCTGAAAAGCAGTTCCTCCTGAATAGAAAAGAGAACAGTGTTCAAAAATCTGGTTGGGACCCTGGCTGCCCTTGGGATTAGTAGTGACAAGGAAGGGGCGTGGGGAGGCTTCTGTGGCACTGATTGCGCGGTCTTTCTTGACTGGATGCTGGTTACATAGGTGGGTTCACTTTCTGGTAAATCCTGCGCTGCGTGCTAAAATCCGAGCCCTTTGCTATGTGAGAGAGACCCTGGAGATGGCCTGCAGCCTGCCTTTACTGAATCCTCCAGGAGTAGCATGCCTTTGGGACAAGGGTCTCCTGGCCAACCTGGCTCTCTAGGTCCCGGTGAAGGACCCTTCTCCCGAAGGCTCCTGGAAGTGAGGCCCCCAGACAGGGATTCCATACTCAGAGACAGGAGGCAGCACCTTCAACCGGAAGCACGTGTGCACACGCTTGCGCACACGCATGCGCACACAGACACACCTTCTCACTCCTCTTCCTCCAGCCGGTGCTGTGACCGGAAGAGCTGTGGCAACCGGAATGAGACGCCTTCTGATCCGGTCATTATTGACAGGTAGGTGCTGGGAAGGAGGCCCCCGGGAGACCAGGGCGCAGAGCACAGGGGCACACGCACCGCCCCCCATTGGTGGTTGTAAGCAGAGAGAAACTACCAGACACAAGGAAGCTGCACCCCTGGCCTCTACAGGAAGCCTCTGGTGGTAGACTTCCTGGGGCTGGGCTTAGGAGTTCTGCTCCCTGGGGAAGAAAGCCGGAGGGCCAGGGCCTGGGGTGAGGGCGGGGCGGGAAGGAGATGAATCAGGCCCAGAGAGCAGCTGGGAGAACGGCTGGGAAGACGGACGGGCTGACATGGGAAAGGCAGGGGAAGCCCGGCTCTAGTCCCGGGTCCACCTCCACCTCTCGCCGCTTGCCTTGACTTCTCTGCACTTCCGTTTCCTTCCATTGAAAAGTGGGGACATACTTGGCGCATGTCAGTCACAGGACTGTCAAGGTGATGGGTGTAAAATGCATTCTCCCACCATGACTTCTTTAAAATTATTTTTTCTCTTTGAAGAACAAATGCATAGGTAAGGTACAAAATTCAAAAGGTACAAAAGAAGACCCCACCCTTATGTACCAGGGACTTTTGTACCATTTCGTTTTTTAAAAATTTGTAACAATATGTCTTAGAGATCACGCCATATCAGAACATAAACCCTGCTGTATTCTCCTTCTAATAGCACATTCACAGGAGCAAAAATTCAAGTTTAAAAGAGTTTAAAGCAAAAAGGCTGCCACCTCGGCATCTCATCCATCCATTGCCCTCCAGATAAGCAGCCTTTGTTAGCAGTTTCTTGGCCATCTTTCTTGACATTGTCTGCCCATAGACAAGAAAATACATATTCTTTTCGTACCTTTCCTTTTATGTTTCTAAAATTGCTGGCGTCCAAAATGTACCTTTCAGCACCTTTCCTTTTCTCTAAGAAACGTGCCTATCTGGGAGGTTATATCAGGACACAGAAAGTCTCTTTCCTCTTTTTTGCTACTGCAAAATATTCCACGGTATGGATGAACTATAATTTCTTTTAGTCGTCTGCCATTGCTGGATGCTTTGGCCGTTTTTGTTCCTTTTCAGAGATCAAATATACTGCAGTGACTTACTTTGTCCCTGTGTCACTTTGCACATAGGTGCGTTCATAAGAAGGATATTATAGCAGCAGAATTCCTGGGTCAGAGGAGATGTGCGTTTGTAATTTTAATAGTTACTGTCATTTTGCCCTCTGTGGAGATTACACCAGTTGGTATTGGTACCAGCAGTTTTGAGAATGCCTGTTGTCCACACTCTGGGCGATTAGAGATGTTGTTATTCTTTCAACAAAATTTTTTTTTAATATTCACCCCATGCCAGGGTCTCTTCTATATTCTGTGGATTAAACATTGACCAAAACCAAGACAAAAGGCTTGTGTTTATGGGCTTAACAATCTAGTAGGGGAGATGGACGTGAATGGAATGAATGAAACGTAGATTCTGTTAGATGGTGGTAACAGCTAAGGAGAAAAGGCAAGCATCAGGAAGGATCTGAAGTGCCCAGGAAGGGGGGGCGTGCAATTTTAGAATGTTTACAGAGAGCCTCCCTAAAAAGATGGCATCTGAGCCAAGACCTGAAGGAAGGAAGGGAGTGAGCCATGTTTGAACCCAGGGGAAGAATGTTCTTGGCTGGAGTGGACCTGGTGTGTTTAAGGAACAGTAAGAAAGCTCAGGTGACTGGCGTGAGGGGGACTGTAGGAGGAGATGGTGTCAGGAAACCAACAGAAGGGTTAGAGGAAGGCAAGACATGCAGACAGGGCCATGTAAGTTGCATATAGACCATTATAGGGAGTTTGGCTTTTGTTCTGAGTGGCATGGAAGCCAGGGGTGGCAGGGGGGTGTTTGAGAAGAATGAAATGACCTGATTTATATTTTAGCAAGATCACTCTAGCTCGTGTGTTGCCGATGACCTGTAGGAGGCAAGGATGGAAGCACAGAGGTGAATTAGGAAGCCAGCACAGTTATTCAGGTGAGAGAAAGTAGAGGCTGTTAAAGAGGGGGTGTTAGGAGGTGGTGGCAGGAGGTGATTGAATATATTTTGTGGACAGAACTAACAAGATTTGTTATGGAAGGAGAGACAAAGTGACAGAGAAGGAGGGGGAGTCAGAGATATCCCAGGTGTCCGACCTGATCAACCTAGAAGGACAGAGTTCCTATTTACTGAGGAGAAAGAGATTTCAGAACAAGCAGGTTTGGGAGCAAGGAAGATCAGGAGTTTGGTGTTGAGATGCTTAGCAAACATCCGGGGTGCGGGGGATTAAAAGCAGGTGAAAACATAAGTACAGATCTCGAGGGAAAGGTTCAGGCTGCAGATCTAAATCTGAATGAATGAAATCATCAAGGGAATGAATGCTGAATGAAAACAGATGAGGTCCAAGAACTGAATCCTGGGCTGTTCAGTGTTTAGAAGCCATGGAGATATGGAGCCAGTGAAGGAGAACAAGAAGGAGTGGCCAGGGAGGCAAAAGGGGAATCAGAGGATTGGAGTGTTCTAGAAGTCCAGGTAAGAAACTATTCCAAAAAGGAGGAAACAGTCAACTTCAACAAATGGTTCTCATGGAGATGATAAAAAGACTAATTTGACCATCACATTTAGCAATGAGGGGGACAATGGTGACCTCAACAATAGCTATTTCAGTAGAGTGGAGGGGCAGAAGTCTGGTAGGAGGCTGTCTGAGAACAGAAGAGAGACTGGAGGCAGTGAACAGAGGAACTCTGGGAGTTCTGCTCTAAAGGGATCAGAGAAATAAATGGGGACAAGAGCACAGTGTAAGGCCCAGAAAAACAGCTTCTTCATATGCTGATGAGAAAAACCAGTGGGAAAGAGGGGAATGATGATGCAGGAGAGGAAAACTGCTGGAGCCATGTCCTGTAGCCAGCGAAGGGCATGGGATCCAATGCACTGGTGGAGGACTAGTTTAGCTGGGAGTGTAGACAGCTACCCACGGACAGAGCAAGGAAGTCAGGGAGCCTGGGCCCAGAAGGGGGCAAATCAGGACACCCAATGTGGGAGCTTGCAGATGCCATTTCCTGATTGCTTTGTTTTCTCAATGAAATGGGAAGCCAGGTCAACAGTTGAGCATGGAGATGGTGAAGGAGACACTAGGGCCAAAAACAGGTGTCCAGGATATTGAGTGGACCATGGAAATGTTGTGTGATTGCCAAGCAGCACTAAGGGCCTGCCTGAGGTTTGGGGTCATGAATTTGAAGTGAGAAATTTCTCCAGCCATGCTGAGCAGTGGTAGAGTACAGGTGCGGGACAGGTGAGTGGCTATGTGTATGCAGAGATCAGGGTTTGCCAGGTGAGTACAAGGAGACATGAGAGGGCAGGAGAGTAAAAAGCATGTGCAAACGGTGTTTGCAAAAATGGAACAAGAAATTTAAGGGATAGGGAGAAGGATATGGGAGATTGAAGAAAAGGCCGGATGAATGGAATGTAGGTTCTGATGGGGCCAAACAATTTTTGAAGTTGTGGTACCAGAAAGGGGTTGAGCTGGATGTTAGAGGATGGATGGTTAGACCATGGGTTGTCTGTAGGTAGACTTATTCGGGGAGATTGCATCGGTAAGATGTAGCTAAGGGAAGGTAAACACGAGGTCAGTGGAGGAAAGATGCTCGCGGAATGCAGAGGACAATGTTTTGGAAGAATTCTCTATCTATGTTCATACTGAAATTACCACAAATTATGACAGGATCATTGTTCAAGAGTATATATAGTGATGCAGCAGGAAAATCTTCAGAGTGAAGGCAAGTGACCTTGGGGTTGAGAAATGACTGCAACAAGCAGTGGTCGCCATACTTTTTTGTCTTTTTCCATCATCGAAGTGAACTGTGGTATCCTGGTGAATTTCATTTCTCTTACTGTAAGGTTGAGCATGCTTTTAGGTACCTAAATTCTATTTGTTTTTCCTTTTCTTGGAACTCTTTTGTTTCCTTTGCTTCTTTTTCTATGAAGGACTGGCTTTTGTTACTGATTTGTAGAAGTATATATTAAGGAAATTAGCCCTTTACATGAGTTGCAAAAATTTTTTTTCTAGTTGATTGTTATCTTGTAACTTTTCTTAGAGTGAAACTTGCCCAACCTCTCAATCTTTTAAGTACTCTCGATTTTTGTCCTATTTAGAAAGGCCTCTCTCACACCAAAATTATTTTTAGAACTTTATCCTGTGGTTTCTTCTGGTCCTTTTATGGTTTCATTGTTTACACTTAAGTATTTGGTCCATTTGAAAAAATATATAAGTTGTTATGTCTCATATCATACATACAAAAGAAAAATACAACAAAATGGAAATTGAGAAGCATTAATAATTATTGTACACCTGTGAACTGACCAACAAACTTAAAATTAGAACATTAAAAATATTACTGAAGCCCTCTCTATATTCCTTCACCATCTCATACCATTGCCTACCCCTCTCCTAAAGATAATCAGTAAATTGAGCTCTGTGTTCACACACAACTCTAAAAAATAATTTACGACATATTGTAAACACTATGTCTGGTCGAGCTTGTTTTTAACTTTATAAAAAGGATATTATGTTGTAGTAGTCTTCTAAAATGCTCTTTTTCAATTCAGCATTATATTTTTAAGATTTTTCTGTGTTGCTATATTTATAGTTGGTTGTACTTTGTTTTTGCTATTATAAGCAAAACTGCCCTGAACATTCTTGTCTGTCTCTCATGGTTTGAACAGGTACAAGTGTGTGTTTAGGATGTAAAACTAACACTGGAACTGCCAGGTCATAAGGTGTGCCCATGATTAACGTTAGGAATCAATGTCAGACCATTTCCAAGATGGTTGTCCTGAGCAATGCTCCCATCTAGACTGACTGAGTTCCTGTGGCTCCACCTCCTCACCAGCCCTTTCTAATGTCGAACTTCTTAATGTTTGACAGTCTAGTGGCCACACAGGGACTTTTGTGGGCACCTTAATTTGCATTTTCTTGATTATTAATGTAGGTTGAGCATCTTTTTTTTGTTTGTTTGTT